GTGGGGGGGGGGGGGGGGGGGGCCGGGAACGCCAGACGCCTGACCATATATATATATATATATATGTATATATATATATATATATACATGTTCTGGATGGCATGTTGAAGCTCAATGCTTACACTTGCAAGGTATTCGCAAAATGCTCGTCGGTACAGCAAGACAGCTGAAATGCCCTCATGCAGCAGCCTCGAGTCCTGAGTTGGAAATGTCCTGAGGACACTCCGACATACAGACCGTGGTGTGGCTACAGTTCCAGGGGCCGCGACGCTCCAACTTGCGTAGGCGCTGGACGATGCTCATCACCGGCTCCATGCCTTCGGCTTCAAAAGTCAGCACCCCACTTCGGGGAAAAACGATGCACTGGAAGTGTCGGCGCATCTGAGCAGTTGGCATGCAACAGCCCCGCGTGCCTGCAAGAACGCGGTGTTGAAGCGTTCACGAATCTTGACTGGTTCAGCATTCCAAGGCAACACACAAAGACGTGACAAATGGCGAAACTGCTCGAATGCTAGCTTTCGGCTCGCTTGGCTGTGCTGGATCTGAAGTTGCGGGCCTCCTCCTTGACTCGCTCGGAGAGCATGTCATCAACCTGTCTCTGCGTGATAAGCAGCTTGGCTTAGCAAGTTTGACCTGCTACAGTCCTTGGCCAACCTGAAACCCTGGCAACAGAAAAGAATCATTGCTTGGTGCACTGATGGATAGTGGGAGAAGATGGCTTCATCCCAGAGGTCCTTCAGGCATAACTGCACAACGAGTCCTGGACTTAGAGGCCGCCAATGACCTCGTCTGGCGACGTGCACTTCGTCTCGCCGAGTGGCAGCCTGACCGGCTTCAAGCGTACAGCTGGCAGCTCGGTTTGGCATGAGCGACTGGGTGCTGAGCCCATGCACTTCTTGCCGTGAAATCGGCGAGAGCCTGACCTGCAAGCCAGATATAATGTCGAGCTTCGCGAATGTGTACAGAACTTGCCTTGGACGGCGGTCCCAGCTGCAGCAGCTGCTGCCTGCGGACCAAGCGCGGTCCGTGCGGCATGGCAGGGACTTTTTTCCTTCGTGCCTGGCCTGGCCAGCTCCAAGTGCCTGAACAAGTGGGCATCTCGCGTTCATCAGTCACTGTCCATCACGGCGCATTTCGCGGAGAGTTGTTGCCTGTGCTGCAGAAGCTCTCTCCAAGCCCTGGCCGTTCACGGATCCGATCCCTTGAGCCGCTCAACCGGTAGCTGCGGGGGCCGCCCGCCTTTGGATCCTCCGAGTGCTTCGGCAAAGCGAATCCTCTCAACAAATGCCCCCGAACCCTTCGGCACCTCTCGCACCCTTCAGGCCTCATTCACCCCAGGTCGGATTCGTTGCCTCACGCAAACATGAGCCGGGACGTAACACCATTGCGGAAGCCATTCAGAAAATGTTCCGGCATAGGCTCTCTCTTTGCCACCGACGCTCCGACCGGAAACCAACAGCTCAGCCCCCGGTACAACCCAAGCCTACCCAAGCACCATCACGCTCCTGCGACACTTCTCATCCGGCCCAATTCGTGCTTCTGCCATATGTGCTTGCTGTCGCTTCTTTTGTGTGCAGTGTTGGCAGATGCGCCGGTCCTGCAGGCTCATCCGTGTTGTGAATACTAACCAAATTGACTCTGCGCGTTAAGATCTTTATCGCAGTGAGTGGCTGAGTATTCGTGATAGCAACGGCCCGACCTGTAGTTGCATCTATGCTATTTAGTTTTCTCCGAGCTAGCACGTTTTCCATCCCGGCGTTGCTAAGACCACTCGATAATTTCGTGGCTACCAGCGTAAAACTTGGCGGGCCCGGGTGTGTGGAAGGTCAAGTCCTGCAGAGTCCAGCTTGGACGGAATCTGTGCGGCTGGGCCCCGGACCACCGCCAGCGCTGCGCAGCAAAGAGTTTCGCCTTGATGGACCAAGCAAGCCTTGACCCTCAAAACTGCAAGTCTGACCACGCCAGTGGGCTCGTTGTGGCCAAGTCATGGCAAACAGATCTATCCATGGTCTTGAGCAAGGCTCGACTGGGATGTTGCTGCAGCACTCGATGTTTGAAAGTCTTTCTTCGTTATTGTTGCGTGTGATTTTCTCGCACTGGAGCCCTGGCCTTTTGCAGGGGTGCGGGCCAGCCGCGACTCTGCAACTTGCCTGGACTCAAAGCGCCAGGCAACAGAGCCGCGGTCTGAAAGGAGAGGTCTGCGCCGCAGCTTTAAGACTGGTTTTGTGGTCCTCGGAGGCAACAACACAAGCCCTGCAATACAAGGGAACATGAGCTCACGAGTGCAGGAGGGGCCGAGGGTTCATCGAGCGCTCTGAGTCGGAGCAGCAGCGATTGTCATTTGCAAATGTTGGAAACTCAAATGCAGCTTATTCTTCACTCCCAAGATCCAGGAATGCAGGGCGTCCTATGTTGCGTAGGCTTGTGGGGCTACGTTTTCGCACCCATTGCTCGAGCTGTAGCCTGCATACATGTTCCCGAACCCCGACCGGGACACTCCCACCATCGCCTTTTGACACGATGCTGTGCTTCTACCCACATATCTATCCGATTGGCCTGTACCAGCATCTGCGTTGTTGATGGAGGTGCCTTCGACACAGGCTGCAGCGAACCTATGCAACTTCCGCAACCAATGCACCTTTCAACAGGGGGCGCAGGTTCCGTCGCTGTGGGTTTTGAGGCGACCTCAGGCTTGGAAACACAATTAATCAGAACACACGCTCTTGGCCCCGAAGCAAGCATAGCTAGGACCCGAACGGCTTGGATCCTGCATGTTGGAAATGAGACCTTCTTGCCAAGACCGCGTGCATGAACATAGCCTTAACATCCCTCTCTGAGCTCAGGGCACTTCTGCTTGCAACTTCTGCAATTCGCCCTCCCAGCCTGTGGTGCCCAGACAAAAAGGGTTCCCGGGGCGAATGTGACGGAAACTCTAGACCCTGCATGTCCACCCACGTCAAAACTATGGCTTACTTGGAACCAACACCTACTCAGCAGAAAAAAGAAAATGCCTGCGAGGTGGCTTCTTTTCTGGTGCTTCTGCCATGTACTTAACGCGTCAGTTGCTTGCACGAGTTGCTGGCCTGACTGGAAATGAGCCCCACACGCCTGCTAGCATCATGGGGCTGCGCTGTCGGCGCCATCTATTGCTTATCACACTACTCTTAGTTGAGGTGTTGCGATGCACTGCGCATGCTCTTTGATTTGGTGCAACTAACTGTTTTTTTTTCCTTTGCTCGCAACGATAGCAATGCCCAAGACATGCCGCCTTACCCACACCTGGTGCGTCGGGTTGTTCGACCTGCTCTGGGCGTTGGGATGACCACGGAAAATTGGCGAAGGCGCGGCGACAGGGAACAGCTCATCGAAAATGCCCCTGGTATGCCCTGGCCACATGCTAAACGAGGCGAAGCACGGCGGCGAGCTCTGCATGTGAATACCTGGTACGGATCTGACATTGCTTGAGCATGCATTGTGAACCATTGCAGATTGGTAAGCCGCGTGCTCCAATGAAATCGCCTGGCCACACTGCAAGCGTGCATGCACGAACACGTTGCGATCTGGATGCCTTTCCACGGTGCATAAATCTGTCCAGCATGATGGGAAGCCGGGGTGGGCCAGTGGCAATTTTTCGCACGGCAGGCTACAGGAAGCTCTTGGAAGAGAGACCCGTCGTGTTTCCTCACCGAAATACCTCTTGGTCCAAATTCCAAAACAATTCGAAACAAAACGTGACGACCCAACAAACGCGATCTGATGTTCCGGTCGAACGTCCGACTCTCCAACATAATGTGCCACGGCCACGCGCAACTGCGCACTCAACCGTGAAGCGCCACGCCACTTCAAAGGACCTGCCTGAATACAACAAATAGCTCACACGAATAGCTTGCCAGCGTGATGTGTTGCTTTAGCGTGTGAAAACACAAGGGGTCATGAGCGCAGGGCTGCGGAATCACCTCCACCGATGCTTCCGGGGTAGCACACCGCCTGACGGAATCAATGTGAAACGAATCAGCATTCCCTCGTAGCTACCAGAACTTTGCAAACCGGCGTGACACAGCCGCAAACAAATGACACGTGAAGGGGTCCGAGCGCAAGGCCACAGGCCCTGGTCCACCTGACCGCATGATAGCCAGTGCTGTGCATATCTGTGCACGCACTTTGCTGACCTTGCGCTGCAAAATTCACGGCAGGCCTGACATTGATCCAAATCCGGACGCAATCCATCGCAGCTGCGCAAGCTGGAGCCGCAAAGACTTCAATCGGACCATTCATTCTTCAACAGCTTTTTCTTCCACAGCTTTTTGCGAAAAGTTTCCTGGAAACAAGTGTTGCTCTGTCCATGCGAAGCCGGCAGCGGGGCACCCGCAAAAGGTTTTCGGGAGCGGCGGAAGCATTCGGCTTCTCCGCGGCGATTTTCACAGCAGGCAAAGTGGGGATGGATCAGGCGTGGCACGAGTCTTCATCGCAGAAGCCGCCCATGCAGGACCACTGAGTCTCCCAAATGCCTGCGTCATGCGCTTGCGCGTACCCTCGAGGGAGCCAATTGCACTTTAAGTTCGAGAGCAAGGGCAGGTGTTGCAGGAACCGGCGTCCCTCCGACATGCGTTCCGCCTGAACGGCCATAACGGCCGCACCAAGTCGGGGTGCCCGACAGGCGTGCCAAGGACAACGACACCTCTTTCAGCCGGCGGTTTGTTGCCTCGCCAGACCGCGTCACCCAGCTCGGGTATGCCCGGGGGTGGGGAGGGCTTGCTTCGGCTGCATAGACCCCGGGCTTTGTCGATTTTGCACGCGGTGCCGCAATGGGTCGCGACGGCGCTCCAGTGCCACATCGTGCAGATTGGTTAGGAAGGCCGCGTGCGACATGGAGTCATACGCGCAGCCATCGAGCGACACAAGCACGGCCCCATTGGCACACACAAGTCTGGAGTCTTTCGAGCTGGGAACCTGGAGGCAGAAGCTCAAGCCCAAACCATGCACTCCAAACCATGCACTGGGATAGACATAGGTGACATAAGAATTGGAACAACCGCCCAAGATAAACAAGCTGCCATTTTGCCGTCTCCACGGGACAGTAAACCATCAACATGTTGCCTCCACCCGAAGTTGCTTTGGAGCACGATACCAAGGTACTTGTACGATTGTACTACACACAATGCCAAACCACCCACATGGATTTCAGGGAGTCGAGCGCGGCCGCGACCGAAACGCGTGACGGCGGATTTTTGTGGGCCTGCAGCAAGATGAAAACGCCAGGATTTAGCCCACTCAGCAGCATCATCCAGCTGGAGATCACGATAGCTTCCGCTCAGGATTACAATGTCATCGGCATACAGCAGGCTCAAGCTTCGCGGGAGAGGGTAGGGTAGCTTCGATACATGCAGGGAGTGGATATCACGATTGGACAGGTCACCTTCTCGGCAGTACTTGACCAAGAGCTTGTGTTGCTCCGAGTCGTCGACCTACTTGCTGCAGGGGGGAGTATCGCCGCCGAGCGAATCCCCCCCCCGGAGCCAGGACCGCCGTCCAAGCCCCCGGCCTCCTTTCCCCCAGCCCCCTTCCCCGCCCCGCCGCCGGAGCGGCAGTCTGCGCGCCCGAAACCCCATGCCAAAGCCTCCCGCCAAACCCCGCTACAAGCGATCCCAGCACCGCGGCGGCAAGCGTTGGAATCGCAGCGCCAAACGCCGCACCTGAGTGTGGGCCTAGCTTGCGCCTGGCCGCTGCCCTCCTGGGGCTGGGGCCCGTTTTTCTTTTTTCAACACCCTTTTTCCGTCTGCAAAGTGGCTGTCCCGCAACGCTACTGGGGGCAGGCTTACTACCTGCAGCTACTCCTACGCGCTCAAGGCCGCTTCGGGCGCAGCGGCAAGCGACTAAGGCTCGCTGGGGCGGCAGCGCTCGAGGGGCGGCTCGTCCCTGTAGCACGGGTGGAGCGGCGCTTGCCAAGCCTGCCCCAGTGCCGTGCTGGCGACCTTCGCCGCCGTGCGCGACTACTCCGTGCGTACCTTCTCACAGGCGGATGCGGCCGAGCTGCCGGAGCCAGTGCTCATCATTGCTCATCCAGGCAACATGCTGCAATCGCCTTGCGGGACCCGCGCTGGATTTCGCCGAGCTGTTGGCCGACATGAACGAGGACGTGCCAGTTGCGGACGAGCGGCGCATAGAGGTTGTCGCCAACGGCTTGCCGCTGTGGCACGGGTCGCAGCTCGCCCTTGCGCGCGGCCGC